AAATGTTCTAGGAAGGGGCATAAACAGTAAAGGCTGCTTCTTCACTTTGTACTTATGACCAAAGATTGGTTTGGTTTTCATTCATTCATCCTTAGGGAACAAATTTCTAACAAGAGAGTACAGTTTTCCCCAGTTTTACATTTTAACAACCACAACAATGTATTGAGCCCATGTACAGGGACCCTGAGCTAGTACTTTATATTCTTTATTCCATTTAAGGAAAAAGCCAAGTCCCTGTCATTAAGGACCTGACAGCCCATCTGGAAAGACAGAATTATATTCAAAGTTAGGGATTTTACTGAAATATTTAATAACTGGGCTAGACACCAAGCCGTGAGAAGGGATGTCAGTTGTAAACCCCCAAATGAGCCATGCAGGTGCCCCTCAGCAGCAGGTCAGCCCTGGTTGTACCATCCACGTGGCAGGGAGCCCTCTACTGCAAGTATTAACAGGAAGTCATTAGGTCGGCCCTGGGAGGTTAGAGATTCAGCCGCAGAGGAAATCTGGGGAGATCACATCCCCTTGGATGGTCAGAGTTTTATATTATGCGTTTCCTGATGACCAGAACTTCATCTAAACTTTTTCTAAAATACTCCCAGTGTTGTACTCCTTGCATTTAAGACATGATGTTTCATTATGGAGGGTTATGATACCACATCTCAAAAGGTAATTTTTGCTACCCAAGTACATCCCATTTGGGTATGTTATAACATTTTTGTTCAGCACACCTGACTCTGTTAGCATGGCCTCTTCTAGTCTGATGGGTGGTGTTCAGTCCCTCTGGTGGGTAACATTTGCATTTAGAAAATCTGAACAACCATTTGTTCCTAAGGAGATTACCTAACTGAGAAAAATAGGACCCCAGCGTTCATTATTTTGGAGCAAACATTTCATCTTCTACATCAACACACTCCACCTACCAAAGCATAGGTATATCACCAAAAATTATCCTCTGAGTCAGGCTTTCTCAGTCTCTGCACTGTTGACATTTGGGGTCAGATGATTTTGTCCTGAGCATGGCCTGATATTCAGCAGCATCCCCAGTTTCTACCCACCAGCTGCCCATAGCACCTGTCCCTGCAGTGTGACTACCAGAAATGTCTGCAGATATCCCCAAATGGCCCGAGGGTTGTGGATGAGAGTAGGGAGTGATGTAAATCATCGCTGGTTGAGAACCACTGGTGCAAGTAAAATTTGAGGGTCCCAGAGTCCTTTTCTGCAAATGGCTGCTACAACTGCTGGGGTTTTTTTTTCCTTGTGAGGTCAATCTGAGAATTACTCCAAGTTTTTGTTAAAAAAAAAAAAAATCTCCATTGAGTCCTCTTCCCAGATGAGTGAGGCAGGATGGTGTACTTTGGTTAGGCAGTGGGGTTTGGGGAGCCTGGTTGTGCCTGGGTGTGAATACCAGATCTGCCCCCATTTAGCTTTGTGACCTTGGACAATTTATGCAAACCTCTCTGAGCCTCAGTTGTCCGTCTTATAAAATGAGGCTGTAAGTAGTAACTCCCTGTAGGGTTGTTGGGCAGACTCACTCTCAGGCACATAAGCATTTGATGGATAGAAGGATGGCTGGATAGAAGGTGGTCAATTTGGCTTTCTAAAAGCCCATGATCCTGCAAAATTCTGTCTTTGTGGGACTCCAAAAGGCAAAACTCATCCACTCACTTGATCATGAGTACTAACAGTACATTCATCAAGTATAACTTTTTTTTTAAATGAAAAAAGCATAAATCAATAATACAGTGATTTGGTTTTGCTTCAAGTTACAGCAAGGGATCACCCGATGTGAGTCACTGTTTGATGTACAGTCATATAGTACAGCTGTGACTATCCCAAATTTGGTCATTTCCAGGTGAACTTGCAGTTAAATGATTAACCTATATTATAAGTGCTATAAAAAAAAAAGCCTCTGATGATGCCTTTCCTATCCTGGACTGGTGTTATACCTTTGGGTGACCTCTAATTTTGATTTGTTAAGATTCAAAAAGACAGTTTTTTTTTTAAAGATTTTTATTTTTTTATGAGAGAGAGAGAAAGAGAGAGCACGAGAGGGAAGAGGGTCAGAGGGAGAAGCAGACTCCCTGCTGAGCAGGGAGCCCGATGTGGGACCGATCCCGGGACTCCAGGATCATGACCTGAGCCGAAGGCAGTCGCTCAACCAACTGAGCCACCCAGGCGCCCCTCAAAAAGACAGTTTGATTCTTTCTGTCCGAGGCTTTCCCTCAGTCTTTTATTAGCCTGGGAGGTACCCCCCGGCCTGTGGCAGGTGCACACTCCTCAGCATTGTTGGCAGGTTCCTTTTCTGGGTACCCCAGACAGGAGGGAGCTTGCTGCCATGCGTCTGTCTGTGGGAGTGCCCTTGACCCACCCCACCCTCCTCCTCTCTGACCTCCGCGATACAGGAACAGTGAACAGATTTCCGACCCAGAGGGTGTATCAGGAAACCACCGATGAAATCAACAGAGATATAGCAGTTTTTACAGAGGCTGAAACTCACAGAATTGGAAACCCGATGTGTCAACAGAAGAACTTGACTGGTTCTCGTCAGTGGAAAGACAGATGTGGGATCCAGACAGCTCTTCCTACTTCTGTTTCTGCTATTAAATGGCAGTCCCCCATCCTCACAAAGACATGATAACATTACGGAATTGGACGGAGTGTCCTTCATAACAGTTACAACTAGCTTTATCACTTACTGAATGTTTATTCTAAACCAGATGCTGGGACTAAGTGCTTCATAAATGTAACCTCACTGAACCCTTCCCACAACCCTCTGAAGCAGCCGTTGCTCCCATTTTACAGATGAGAAAACTGAGACTCAGAGAAGTTAAGCAAGTTACCCCCCCCCAAAAAAAACAAGTGATGGAACCAGAATGCAAACCCTTGGTACACTCCACCATCCTCACCCTAGTGGCGATGGCCACCGCGAATTAAGTCTGTGTCATTCCAGTTCACTTAGGCTATTATAGGCACATCTATGAAATCACATTTTCCATAAACTTTTAAGATTTCAGGTGGGGAAACAGCTTTGCCTTCTAGACTTGAAGGCTCAGTCTCGTACCATTAACTTCTTTTGCAAACCCAGTTGCCGTCTAATTATTTCAAATTCCTTAAATAACCTGGAGCCCTTCACCATTTAAGTAGGGCTTTTGCTTGCAGGGCTTTTGCTTGCAGGCTTTTGTTTGCTCTCGATGCAGGGACTTGCCGAATGGAGGCAAAGGCGCTAGTATTTCCCATTTGTAAGTGATAAGAGGGGGAGGTGGTGGCTTTCAGAGATCACGTTTCAAGTCCGGCCCTGGTTTTTATGTGTGTGGGAATGAACGCAAAGAAAAACACAGCTGAGCTGCATTGTGGTTCTTCCTGTAGAACCTGTTCATGCCCAGGGTGAGTAAACCTGGGGTAGCAATGTCTCCCTGAGACAGCCTCCAGTGAAATTTGTGCCTGGATTTGAAGCAACTTATTTCCCGGGAAGTATCATCAGGATCCCCGCTCTGGTCCATTTAAAAGAATGTGTCTCCCTTCTGGGAAGATCTGCCAGAGAGAACTTTGCCCTCTTTCTCCCTGATCGGAGGAAGGAGTAGAACTGGGGAGGTGTCACCCGCTAGAGTTGCTGATGTCAGTAGCGTGTCAGCCGTGGGAGGCTCTGTTTGTGAAATTGAGTTACACCTCGATGTCTTATGAAACTCAGAACTCACCGGAGCTGCTGTCTGGGAGAGGGGAGGTGGAGCGAGCCTTGGGGTTTTCCTTCACATTTCTGTCCCGTTTTTGGAATCTCTGGATGAAAAGAAATGAAAGCGTCCAGTCTACGGACATTTTAGGAAATGGGTATGTAGCTTTAAGCTTTCACTAATAACTCTTGCCACCTGGGTGATTGTTGTAGTTACATTGACTGTGTGTTCGGACCACGAAGGGCTGTGTTCTTAGCGTGTGCTGGTTTCTCTCACTGTGTTTGGGGTTGGGGGTCCAGGTTGAACGCTTTTGTCTCCTGGTTACGTGTGCATAGGAACTTGAAGTTCGTGCTGTTTCTTTACATGAGGTTCACATGTTCGTGAAAAGTCTTGGCTCCTGTACTTCGGGAAATGGTTGTGCTGATGGTGCTTTGCAATTAGACAATTTAAATGCTCCCCTAAGATTCTCTGAACATAATTTCAAACTCCGGCCAAAGTCTACTAATCATCAATAGGGGACAAATTCCTAGTTGAGAGGAAAAGCTGAGGCTCAGGCTAGTACCAGGGGGTTGGGAAAGAAAATAGAGCAGGGCACTCGGCCTCGGGAATGGGCTGCTTTTTATAAATTATTTGATTTTCAAATGCACATTGCTAGCTCACTTCTGTTTCTCCCAACCAATTGGCAAATGACACCGAGTGCAGCATTAGAAGATCAGCAGTGGGAATATAGAAGTGGGTTCTATTTACAAAAACTGGAGGCTGTAGCTCAGAAACCAAGAGGGCAACCCCACATTTACCCCCCTCCCCACCTCTGCTCCAGTTCTTGGCACTAGGTTTCTGTCACATTTAGGGGAACTCTCGTAGGCAGGAAACTGGTATCACAGAGAATCACCCCTGCTTGGGGTCCCGTTTTACTTTCACTTTGCATTCTTTTGAAATTTCATCTGTGGTTCTACTGAAACATCCCTTTGAATATCTTTCCATTTGAATATGAAGTCAACATCTTTGATCAGAAGGCATGTGCTTACTGGAATCTGTGAGGATTTCCTAACTATTTTTATTTAGTTGAGTCAGAGGAAAAAGAGTATGCATGTTCCCCACACTGGCCTGGTTTTAGCGTTCAAGGAAGATTTACTCATGAGGTGAAGATTACTGTCAGAGAAAGGAATAAAATGGTTTCAGGTTGTTGATTTGCAACAAGACTGCATCACATATCCGTGCTTCGCCTTAGTGTACCTTCTTGATTTTTTGATGATGAAGCTGAGTTCCAGATTTAGGAAAAATCAGCATTAATTAAAGCTGTGCGTCTTTTCTGCGTTCTTGATTTCGTAGTTATTCCAATGGAAACAGCTGGAGAACTTATATTTCCGTGAGAAAAAATTCGCCGTTGAAGTTCACGATCCACGGAGGTGAGGACGACAGCCTTTTCTTTATATGGTTGCGGTGACAATCCCTGTAACCCTGCTGCCGGGGACACTCATGTGCACGTTTTTGTGCTGACATGCTTTCATTTCTCCTGGGTAGAGCTGGGAGGGGGATTGCTGGGTAACTCTTTCTTTAACCTTTGGAGGAACTGCCACAGTTTTTCCACAGCAGCTCTACCATTTTGCATTCCCACCAACAACGTATGTGGTTCCCTTTTCTTCACATCCTCCCTAACACTTGTTATTTTTAGTTGTGTTTTTGTTGTTTTTTTAATAGTCACCCTGGTGGCATACAGTGATAGCCCATTTTGGCTTGGATTGGCATTTCCCTCATGACTAATGATGGCTAAGCATCTTTTCATGTGCTCTTTGGCCACTTGTAGATCTCCTCTAGAGAAATACCTGTTCAGATCCTTTGCTCATTTTTTTAATTTGGTTTTCACTTCTAAAACAACAGTTGCCAAGTTACCGCCACGGATTGAAGTCAGGATTGTAGGCTCTCGGAGCTCTTCAGAGGAATTCATTATCAGTCCGCAGTGTTTGCCTTTCAGATACATTTATGGATGCTTGGAGGTCAGAGGGATTGGGGAAACAACTGTGACAAAAAGAGGACCAAGAGATAAGCCAAATTCCTACAAAGAACATTGGTACCCTTCTCCCTCCTTCCCCACAGCATCTTCCTGCTCCCCCTTCCTTCTCCTTTCACCCTCTCTTCCTCTGACTCTCTCTCCTCTTCTTATCTGGTACATAAGCAGTACACTGGACCAGTTTCAGACTTGCATATCTGCAGATGATATTATCATGTTCATCCTCTGATAATGTCAGAGCTGCATAAGTCTACCTAGATCTGAAATGCTCTTTTACCTTGAGGGAGGTGTTGACCCTGCCCTCTCGGTTGCGTTATCTTTGAAATATTATCACCTTGATTCCTGACCTCTTGTGATGGTCACACATCCTGTGGTTTTTTAAGTAAATGTTTTTAGTACAGCCCCTAATTTGAATAGTTCTTACCCTTTGGATTATGTGCGTATGCATTTTTGAACATGGTAGTTTAAAAAAAAAGAGAGATTATCCAGGTGTAACGGGTTTCTTCATAAAAGGAGAAAATCAGAAGCTTGGCTCCTCTCAACATCCGAGTGTGGCAGCAGGAAAACAAGAAGATACTTCATGATCACATTCCTCACTGGGTACATGTTGTGGTGTGCTGGGCCAGAGGTGAATAAATCGAATGCTTTGCTTAATCTTCCAGGATTTCTGTGTCAAGAAGAACCTTTGGGCAAAGTGGGCTCTTCGTGCAAACGTGGTATGCAAACCCTTCTCTCATCAAGTCCATCTGGGTAATGGCAATTAGTCAGCACCAATTTTACTTGGACCGGAAGCAAAGCAAAGTAAGTCACTAGAGTGTTTCTATAGGAACAGACTTCCCTCCTTCATTTGCTTTCTGCTCAGAAGATAAGCTTCCTCAGAAGATGGAAGCACATGGGATTTTGTTCTTTGAGTTTTTGCTTTTTAAACTTTCTGACCATTTTAATTTTCCTTACATTTAAAAGAGGAGCAGTATATAGCCTGATTTAGAAGTTGTAAGACGGGCCAACTTTTCGGCACGTGTATACATGGACACAGGTGACATTTTAAAGTTAATGATTGAACTGTACCATGAGAGAGATTCATGCATATTTAAACATTTTCGATGTAAAGCTTAAGTTTTGTGTTTTTTTCTTCTGAAGTGTCACTTGGGCATGTAAAAATTCTAAATTGTCCTCTGTGTTGACATACTTATTCCGTGGTAACTTAATCATTTTATTAATTTGAAATAGGTTCAGTTGAATGAATTCTGTTTCCATGTTGTGTACCTCTTAGGCAAAAATTCCTTCAGCCAGGAGTTTAGACGATATCGCGATGGATTTGACCGAGACAGGAACACCGAGGGTCTCCAAAATGGTGACACTGGAGGCCAAAAGTCAGTTCATCATGGCGAGCAATGGCAGTTTAATCTCTTCAGGTAACATTTTGGGAAAGTACAAGTGATTTTTATTTTTCACTTTTTTTGGTCTTAAACTACTTTTGGGGGTCATAAACCACTTTTAAACGCATTTTAGACCCATTATTTGGGGAGTAAATAAGCCTATCAAAACCTACAGCATGCAGCATAAACCAATGTATTAAAAAGTAAAAGGAAAGTTAAATTATAAATAGTTTGCATAAACAACACTGGTTACAAAGATAGTGAACTCCTCAGGGTAACTTGAAAGGACATTTTCTCCTCATCTATTCTATCAGCTTCTTCTCCGAATATTTAGTTTTTGATTTAGACAGTTGTCTAATGCTCTACTTAATATATAGTCAAACGTGACTACAAGCTTCAAACCTCACCCCAAACCTACCTCCCACTGTGACTGCTGCCCTGAGGCCCTTCCTCTGTACACGTATACGTGGACACAGGTGACATTTTAAAGTTAATAATTGAACTGTACCTTGAGAGAGATTCATTCCAAATTCTGGAATCTCTTTTTTTTTAAAGATTTTTTATTTATTTATTTGAGAGAGAGAGAGCACAAGAAGGGGTAGGGTCAGAGGGAGAAGCAGACTCCCTGCTGAGCAGGGAGCCCGATGCGGGACTCGATCCCGGGACTCCAGGATTATGACCTGAGCTGAAGGCAGTCGCCTAGCCAACTGAGCCACCCAGGCGCCCAAATTCTGGAATCTCTTATCACCAAGTATACGTAACTGAACTCAAATGAATTTTCCCATCTAAATCCTATTGTCAACTCTTAATCTGAGGCACAGAATGTTCCTTTGCCTTGCTTGCTTGCTTTCTACAAGGACATTCTAAACAATTATCTCCAGGAACATCTTACCTTCTCCCTTGCTCAGAAAAATGAAATTCTTCCTTGGGTGTGTCTGAAACATTAAGCATTTTATCATTGCTTCTGGAATGACTGAGCCAAAATACAGAAGGTATATATAATGACCAGGCTGTGTTGGATGCCCAGAAGCATGAGAAAATGTTCTCCAGTTTCCTTTTATTATGTTCAGAAACAAGAAGAAATGAAATAAATTATTATTTAATAGCAGGTCAGGCTTAAAAATCCTTTGTCCTTTAAAAAGGGAAGGAAACATGCCTTGCATAAACCTTCCCTGCCCTCCCTTCCAATCCCTCCAGGTTCTCAAGACTCAGAAGTTAGCGAGGAGCAAAAGAGAGAGAAAATCCTGGAGCTCAAGAAGAAGGAAAAGCTCTTGCAGGAAAAACTCCTGAAAAAAGTCGAGGAGCTTAAGAAGATCTGTTTGCGGGAGGCTGTGAGTGTCTTCTGCTTTTGGGGGACTCGTCACATTGTGTTTGACAATCTGGCCAATGTCAGTTATCCCCCTCTCGATTCTGTCCTGTTTTACAGGAGCTCACCGGCAAAATGCCAAAAGAATATCCGCTGAATGTAGGTGAGAAACCGCCTCAGGTCAGAAGGCGTGTAGGCACCGCGTTCAAATTGGATGACAACCTGCTGCCAAGTGAACAGGTATGAGCACCAGCTCTGAGCATTTCTGCTAACAGCCGACAGAAAAGCCCTCAGCTGAATGTGGCTGACTTGTTTCTTTGGTTTTTGAGTCCCTGCTGTACCTTTCTATCTCGCCACTTGAAAGTGATATAGTAGACCAAATCGAATTCTTTCTTTCATGCACAGTCCAATTACAGTTGAGTTATTTCTCACTACTTTACTCCTCCCAAGCATAGAGAGTGTTAAACAAACCCCAAATGTTTGTAACTGAGAACCATGGCCATAAGAATGAAGAACTCCAGCAACAGCATTAGATGCTTCCACGTAAAACAGAGAAGCCTTTGATGAAAACGTTTGCCCTTTCTGATATGTCATTTCTTTTTTTTTTTTTAAAGATTTTATTTATTTATTTGTGAGAGAGAATGAGAGAGAGAGAGAGAGCATGAGAGGGGGGAGGGTCAGAGGGAGAAGCAGACTCCCTGCTGAGCAGGGAGTCCGATGCGGGACTCGATCCCGGGACTCCAGGATCATGACCTGAGCCGAAGGCAGTCGCTTAACCAACTGAGCCACCCGGGCGCCCCTGATATGTCATTTCTCAGATCTCAGTTCCCTTATCCATAAAATGGGGGTAATCCTCGTTCTTCCCACTAACGGATAAGAGGAGTAGTTTAAGTGACATAATACATGTGCAGCATTCAGGTATAACAAAGTTCCAATATAGAGTGTACTTTCTTATTTACATGTCATCAGATCGTAGGGCCCTACTCCTGTTTCTTGCCCAAATTTAGCCATTTGGCTGTAGAAAATGATAGCAGTTTCCATCCATAATAGAGTGAGCTTTGCAAGTTTTTAAAAAGATGTATTTATTTCTTTTAGAGAGAGCACGAGCAGGGCGAGGGGCAGAGGGACAGGGAGAGAATCTCATACAGATTCCCTGCTGAGCACGGAGCCCGACACAGGGCTCCATCCCATGACCCTGAGACTATGACCTGAGCTGAAATCAAGAGGTGGACTTTGAACCGACTGAGTCACCCAGGCGCCCCTGAGCTCAGCAATTTATTGAGTATACCCAGTCCTGGGCTAAGCAATGAACACGCACAATCTCATTTAATCTTTGCCATATTTTTACAAGGTAGATGTTCTCTCATTTGAAATGGAGATGCAGAATGAAAATAATGTGCAACATTAAAATATTAAGCAGTGTTTCCAGGGTCACGGAAGCAGGAACCACCAGAAAGAGAAATCAAACCCAAATGTATCTGTTTCTAAAGCTATGTATGTGAATATAACCTTCTGTGTCTGTGAATCTTGGGTTAAGAATCTCTCCCTGAAAAATATAATCTTCACCCAACCAACTACATGAATGAAAGACCATTCCCTTCTTTAAAAGGAAAAAAGTCGGAGTAGTGAGGAGTGTAAGTAAATGGATGAGGGAGGTCTTGACTTCTAGAAAAGTGTTTGAAAATACCTATGCAGTAAACTTAGGAAGGTTTTATTCTCAAAGAGCATCTGATCTGAGAATGTACAAGAACCAGTATCATTGTATAAATGCAGGATCCTGCTTTGCAAGAACTGGAGAGCAATTTTCTAATACAGCAAAAGCTGGTTGAAGCTGCAAAGAAACTTGCCAACGAGCCAGACCTTTATAAAACCGTGAAGAAAAAACGAAAGCAAGATTACACAGATGCGGTGAAAAAGCTTCAGGAGATTGAAAATGCGATAAATGAATACCGAATCAGATGTGGAAAGAAACCCAGCCAGAAAGCAACTGTTATTTTACCAGGTTCGTAATCAGTAAGGTTTTTCCAGTCACATAGTCAATGTTTATGATGGTACGTAGCATTTCCAAGTTAGTTCATTTGGTGAGAGATAAAAGAAAGAACAGGTTTAAAAGTAAGTTTCTTAGGGTAAAAATGGTTTGGGATGTCAGTCTTGCAAGTGTGTAAACATGGTTTTCAGTGACATTCTCACTTTTGTAATACTATACTATTGCATTGCTTTCATTTTCGGGATGAAGGAGCATTCATAGCAATATTGGTTCATAATCCCCTTTTAACTAGCCTGACATCACTACAGGAAATAGAGTTGATAGCACAGAGTGGTAAGAGAGCTAGGCCTACGCAGTCATTTCCCAAAGGTTTTTCATGCAGGGACATACATTTTTTTAAGGACCTATCTAACATTTGTGAAAAGAGCTCTTACCATCCTGTCATTGTGGAGGCTATTTAAAGCTGTGGACAAATGCTTGTGATATAACATAAAATGCCAAAAGCAGGGTATTAAATCATAACCACAACATGATCCTGACATCATATAAATATCTATATACAACAGCTGGTTGGGAAATATTTCAAAATACTAGTAGTTGTGGAATTTCAAGTAACTAATTCTTCTTTTAATACTTTCTGTATTTTCAAAAATTCTCAACATTATATACTTACGATTTTCATATTCGGGAAAAAAATACACTGAAAATCTCGTTCAGGTAGTAAGTCCAGTTGGCCTTACTTTAACAGCATGGTTTTCAGCCTTGATTGTTGGTTGAAATATGATTATATTTCTTTGATTCCAAGACTATTTTTTTTCACATTTAAACATCTGTGAAATTTGAATAATTTTTATACTAGATGGTGTACTACAGTTAGAATTGGCAATACTTTTTCTTGTTTTACTGAAACATAAAATAATTATATATGTCAGATTGGATGAAATGTGGTGACTAGGTTTAGCGTATTCTCGGGTTTAGGGCGGTATGGTTTATAAAGCAGAGATACGGCTTTTGGAAAGTGAATGCACAGACATCAACACACAAGTGTTCGTCAGCTACAGCTGGAGAATTTAGGATGGCTTTGACTCTGAATGAGAAATCCACTTGGCTTTGGAGGTGGTTACATTCTGGACCAACAGAGATGGGTGATTAGCAGTGTACTTAACTTTCATAACCATTTGTTGTGGCCCATTCATCCCCAAACTGTGCAAGATTTGAGTGATCTCCTTTACAATGAGTGACATTTGGGCAGCAGATGGTGCCAATGGTTGAGCATATATTGGGTAGATTTTTTTTAAGTGTGCCTGACAGCTGACTACACTGGCACCTTGCCTTCAAACGCTACTGTGTCCAATTAAGAGATAGTCTGCCCGGCTCTGATGGAGATTAACATTTGAGATCAGATGGAAGAGATTCCCTTCATAATGGCATGGAAGCCTACACTAAGGTGCTGTATTTGCCTGTAACCTTGCCAGGACTTGACCCTGTGTGTGGAATGATTTGCCAAGGCAGATCAACACATCTGAGATGACTCTTGTTTTAACATCTGATGAGCAGCAGTAATACTTAGGAGCATTATGGGTATTTCCAACCACCAGGAAGCTGTGTCTAGGTAATAAAAGCAAAACTGTAGCTAATATTTATTGAGTGTTTGTCCTGTACAAGGAGCTGGGCTAAGGGCTTTACATCCATTATTTTAATTACCGTTCACCTTAGCACTGCATACTACATACTATTCTTATTCCCATTTTAGTTGAGCCAAGTGATGGTAAGAGGGATTAAGTCATTTGCCCAAGGTCTCACAGCCAGTAAGTGTCAAAACCAAGATGGGAACCCAGGTCTGTCCAATTCAGTGGTTCTCAGCCAGGAGCAGTTTTGCACCCCAGGGAATATTTGGCAATGTGTACAGACATTTTTGGTTGCCAAAACTGGGCGTGGCGGTGCTTCTGTTAGACAGTGGGTGGAGGCCAGAGATCCTGCAATGCAAAGGACAGCTCCCCCCAGCAAAGAATTATCCAGTCCAAAATGCCAGTAGTGCCACGTGAGAAACCTGGGTCTAATTGAAAAGCTCATGCACCACAAAGTGTTTACCTATTAAGAAAAGGCTCTTTTCTTCAGGGAGGGGTCAAAAAATAATTTATACTAACAGCAGATTTTCAAGTGAAAGTTCAAGTGTATTTTGCATAACATTTAGCATTTATGACATGAATGGCATGATTTTTCTTTCCAGTTTGTTGGGTGTAAGCCCTCAATGTATAAGGTAAAGTTTTCATCCCATGTAGAAGCTAGATTGAAAACAAAAACTGCCTTGAAATCGGTCCCATTTTTCTTAAAGATTTTATTTATTTATGTACATATTTATTTATTTAGAGAGTGCATCAGTGGGGGGAGGGGCAGAGAGAGAGAGGGAGAGAGAATCTCAAGCAGACTCTGTGCTGAGAGCGGAGCCTGATATGGGGCTTGATCTCACGACCCTGGGATCATGACCTGAGCCAAAATCAAGAGTCAGATGGTGACTGAGCCACTGAGGAGCCCCTAAATCTGTTCCATTTTAAGAAATAGTCCAGTGTCATATTTGTACAATTTCTAAGATGTTTATATCTTTACTAGTAAATGATTCCATTCTTATAATCATTAATTATTCTTAATGCACTATAATTAGTTATACTTACTAAATAAAAATAAGATGGAGTCTATTAAGAATTGCTTTATTAAATTCACCGTAGGTGTATAAATGCCCTGTTATTCTAAAGGCACTTATTTTTATTCACAGAAGACATAATCCCATCAGAGAGCAGCTCCTTGTCTGACACTACCACCTATGATGATTGTGAGTAGCTCTTCTTTTTCATTTTAAAATGTTATATATTCTGAAATATTAAGACAGTTTCTTTAAGTAAAACCTATGTTTTATTCTTTTGGGAAAAGTAGAATGAACTAACTTACATTTATGCAGAATGGTTGGGGAAGGGAGATTATGATTAATTTCTACCGAGGCTAACTCAGCATTAAATACAGTACCATACAAATCACTCGAACTTAGGAAATCAAAATACTATATACAACTAAGCCAGTCTCTCAGTAAGGGTTTGTGAGGCTCTATAGAATTTTTTTATTAGCATTTTTACTTACTATTATTATTTTTTTTCACTTTTAAGTAGGCTCCACACCCAATGTGGGGCTTGAACTCATGACCCTGAGATCAAAAGTTGCATGCTTTACTGACTGAACCAGCCAGGCACCCCCGTGTAGGAATTTTTTTTTAATGTTTTCTCTTGAAGTAATTACAGGTTCACAGGGAGTTGCATAGATAATTCAGTCTTTCACTCAACTTTTCCCAACGGCGACTTCCTATATATTTGGAGTCTAATCTCAAACTGGAAAATATAGTGTAGACTTTGATTATCCCTGTATTCTGGATAGCTAGGAGTTTATTTTCCTTAGGATGAAATTGGGTTTCATGTCATTGTATTGGCTTCATAGAGGAATGCCATATCTGTTGGGTTGGCCTGTGTTTGTTCAACACATTTTATGATGGAATGGATTTCATATCAAGTGGTAGAGCACTTCCTTGGAATCCCTGGTGCTTAAGCAGAGGAGTGACTATCTGTCTGATATGATTTTTTTTTAAAGATTTTTATTTATTTATTTGACAGAGAGAGCGAGCGAGAGAGGGAACACAAGCAGGGGGAGTGGGAGAGGGAGAAGCAGGCTTCCCTGCGGGGCAGGGAGCCCGATGCGGGGCTCGATCCCAGGACTCTGGGACCACGACCCGAGCCGAAGGCAGACTCCTAACGACTGAGCCACCCAGGCGCATATGATTTAAAGAATTCTGGGACGCCACTAACCCATACAGATTAATCTCCCCCATCCCCACCCCAAGTTTGATGGTGCATGAAACTCCACCATTCCAAAATTCTTCCTTTGAGCTGAAGATGGGTCATGCTTGCCATTCCTCTTTGAAAATGCAAATGTCAGCAGGAGACATAACAAGTCTCTAATGACTCAGCATAAATCAGTTATATCACTTCAATGATAGGATGAGCCTCTGGTCAACCAAAGAGGTGTAAGAACTTGAAAGGTGAACAAAAGTGATCCATACCAACTTTACAGGCCGGCTTCCTTTTGGCCCTATACACACTGGGGTTTTTCTTTAATATAACTCTAGAAAAGCTATAGTATCACCCATTCTACCAGAATGCTTTCTTTGCTCAGAGTGGTACCTACTAAAGTGGCAAAAGTTGGATCAAGCCCACAAGAGAACAGGTGACCCTTGAACTATGTGGGGGTTATGTGTGGCCATACCCCCCATGGTTGAAAATGCAAGTATAACTTCGGACTACTCCAAAACTTAACTACTAACAGCCTACTGTTGGCAGAAGCCTTATTAATTTAAACAATAAACACGTTTGTATGTTAAATGTATTTTATACTGTACTCTTACAGTCAAGTAAACTAGAGAAAAGAAAATGTTATTAAGAAAATCATAAGAGAAAATGCATTTACTATACTGTACTATATTTATCAGAAAAAAAAATAATCCGTGTATAAGTGCATCCATGCAGTTCAAACCTGTGTTGTTCAAGGGTCAACTGTATTCAGTAATTTCCGTTTTCTAGTGTATAGAGTATAAAAATAAATTTCCTGAAAGTAATACACTTCTAAAAACATCAGCTCTTCTGATTTGGTTTTTGGAGGGCTGGCAAGGTATTTATTGCCTTATTTATTTACCTACTTACTTATTCATTCATTCATTTACTTACTATAGCTAATGACACCTTCACTCTTGCCGGGCAGCGACCAAGTTCAGTACCTCATTCTCCAAGAATTCTTCCCCCCAAGTCTCTCGGGATTGAGCGAATCCATTTCAGGAAGTCGTCCATCAATGAACAGTTTGTGGAGACCAGGCAGTCCAGGTGAGAAGTCACAGCATTAGTAAGGCAGATGCCTCACAGCCATGACACCTTTCCTCCAAAATAGTTGACCCTTTTTGGCTTTACCCTATTTATCCTTTCGGAAGGGGTTATCTTGCAAAACAAAGCATAGAAACTAACCCCGTTATTTGTTGTTGACAGCAAGTGCAAGTGTTTCTAAGAGATCTTTTCAAAGCATTTGACAGTTTCCTATATTTTATTTTATTTTATTTTTTTATTTTTTTTTAAGATTTTATTTATTTATTTGAGAGAGAGAATGAGA